ACCGTGAGGGCCCAAAAAAGCCTAGTCGTTTTTATTTTGTTCAGTATTGTTACAGTATGACTTCTTTCTTTCTTGTTCTTTGATATCATACAGAACACAGTGTTCTGTATGACATCAAAGAACAAGATGGTGTGTTCCGTATGATATCAAAGGACAAGAAAGAAAGCAAGAAGTCATACTGTAACAATACTGAACAAAATAAAAACGACTAGGCTTTTTTGGACTCTCACGGTATAGAGTTATGCTAGTAAAAGCCGACTATAAGTTATTGTCCCTAAAACCGGATATGTGTGAGTTTTTAGAAGAAGACTTGCTCTATCCAGCAGTGCATATATTGTCGAATCCTAATCTGCACTGTCAGAGAAAATGAAACGTAACTCTTCTTTTCTAGACTTCAGCTCTATTCGATTTCTATTCAGTTTTTGATTTGCGGTAAAATAATTTTATAAAAGAGTAACTCGATGGCCGAAGTGATTAGAGTATTCAACTTTGTTACTTATTGTCTATGTAAGCTGCCAATACTTCAAAATTCGACCACATTCAGTTTTTCGTTTACTTACACATAGTTTATTTTCGAATAGGTCACACTAGTTTTTCGTACTAGGGCTGTGACAGTTACCAGTTACCGTTACAATCGTTCCCCGTTACTAACGGTAACTATAATTGACATAAAACTAATAAGCATCGTTCCTCCTTAGTAGAGGTAATGGTAATTGATATACAGTAAGAAATCCTTTACCCTCCAGTAACGAGGAACGATGCTTATTAATTTTATATCAGTTACCGTTACCTCTAGTAACGGAGAACGCTGGTAACGGTAACTGGTAACTGTCACAGCCCTATTTCGTACTCAATTTTTAAATGCTGATTCAGAATATCAAAATTTGAAAAGTTTATTGATAGATTGATTTTATTTTAACAACGGCAAATGTTAGTATACTACAACGGACTATAATAAACTGAGAGTGAGTCTATTCGCACTTCCAGATGGCGCCAACTTTACGGAAGACGAGACATTGAAATATCTCTTTTTCTATTTTAAGGCCTCTATCGTCTAAGAAAGAAATAAGGTAGGAATTCCGACCACTATTTCCCGTTGAGGTCATGGACGTTTATTATCTTCGAGTGTAGTGCTTGACACGAAATATCTCACTGAGATAACTACAGAGCGACTGGGTACCTCTTTCTTATACTTCACACTTTGCTACGCTATAGACCAGCTTATTTTGCATCTGGAATTCTTTACTTTAGAAAATACAGCAAATGAACAATAAGAGAGAATCTAAACCAAAGCTGAGAGTAATTGGTGCAGGCTATTGTCGAACTGGTACATGCAGCTTGAAAGTAGCCTTAGAAAAATTGGGCTACACTAAGTGTTATCATATGATAGAGATATTAAGAGAACCAAAGCGGGCTGAATTTTGGCGCATGGTTGCTCGGGGTTCAGAGGAGTATGATTGGGAAGAAGTTTTCTCTTGTTATGATGCAACCGTTGGTTTTCCATCGTGTATCTATTACGAGGAACTAGTGAGAAGATATCCTGATGCTAAAGTGATATTGGGAGTGCGCGATCCAGATAAATGGTATAAGAGTGTCAAAGATACAATTTATGAGGCGCGACATCGATTTCCTGGCCGTTATGTAAAACGATTCAACCTACTAAATTATGGTTGGAAATTCTGGGAATCATATAGAATTGATAAAATGTCTCGGGCAATCATATGGACAAAAACCTTTCATAATCGATTTGAAGATAAACAATTTGCAATTGAATTGTTTCAGCAGCATTATGCTAGAGTTCAGCGTGTAGTGCCAAAGGAGCGTTTACTTGTTTATGATGTCAGCCAAGGTTGGGCACCATTATGTCAATTTTTAAATGTTCCAGTACCGTCGGAAGAGTTTCCCCGTGTAAATGATACTAATAGTCATCGTAGAGACATCGAGAGAGAAAATCGACTCGGCTGGCTTATTGTTATTGGTTTAACTAGTATTTTATTGGCTATTATTTTAGTCTTTCCAGTGTCGTTCATGAGGAAAACTTGCTAATAAATAATGTGCTCACTCATCAGTTTCTGATGAGTGGCGGTGCAGAGATTCGAAAAGATTTCGAAAACGCGTCTTTATCTTCAACTATAGATTCGTGTGAGCAATGTGTCAGTCACCAAAGATAACAAAATATGTGTCTCAGGATAGATAGTTTGACGTTGCTACAACCTCAGTATTGTAACATTGCTGCAATCTTCGATTGTCGACTTTTCAACATTTTACTTTTTTTCCTTTGAAACTTTTCAACCATTCCATTTTGACATTTAACTTTTCAACAAGTCGAAAATGGCGTATCAGAAATTGAAAAGCTGAAAAGCCGATAAGTCAAAAATGGAAGATTGCAGCAATGTTACAATACTGAGGTTGCAGCAACGTCAACCTATCTTTCCTGAGACATATATTTTGCTGTCTTTGGAGATTGAAACATTGCTCGAATCTGTAGTTGAAGATAAAGACGCGTTTTTGAAATCTTTTCGAATTCCTGTACCGCTCACTCATCACAAGCTATTTTCACAAGTTAGCGATAAGACAAAGTGAACAGTCGGAAGAGGGAGAAAGAAATGATAGTTCGAAAGCTTCAAAGACTGCTCACCTGCTAGATAAAGAATCGAAACTGACACCGATATTCTCAACTCAGCCACTTCCGATATCGGACACAGATCGGTGCTCCTCAACTTCGATTTATAGGTGCCGTAATCAAAATGTGTGCAGAATGGCAACAGATTATGCATTAAAATCGGCATATTCTGCAGTTGTGCCCATTCCAGTGAATGCGACATTGTCGACCGAAATAGCGGTCTTCATCGACTTTTCACCCCGCATTACCACCTCATTTTCGAACTGCTTTGTGACAATTGTATTATCCACAAAACAGAGCACGAAGATTAAAAATCGAACAGGCATGTGGTATATTTAAAACCGTCCAGAAGGAGTTGTATAATAAGTTAAAACAGTTTAAACACAAACAGTGGAAATGATAGACTTCTTCAATCAACGCCAATAATGAGGATCTTTCACAATTTTGACGTTTTATCAAAACAAAATTTAGTAAGAAAGAACAGTCGTTTAGGGGTCATTCCCAAAATCGAAGTGTCTTAACAGAACCGACAGAGGTTGAAGTTCCTTCCTCCTCGCTTCCCATCAATCGAATTTCTTGTGCTACAAGTTCGTATATGCATGACAGAGAAAAAAGTGTCCTAGTACCCGTCTGCATTAGAAGTGCTCTTTGGAAAGCTGTGAAAAGCGGCTGACTTATTATATGGTGAGGATCCTATGATCAATGCTGTCCATATAGCCACTACGATAGATATACCAATCGATAGAGAATTCCCTGCACTACCATTTCATGTATGCAGCATAGTGGCAAAAGTGTCTCAGGGCATCTTGACATTAGAAATACTTTCTGTGAAGCCGTGAAAAGCGGCTGACTTATTCCATGTGAGGAACCTATGATCAATGCTTTCCATACAGCCACTACGATAGATATACCAATAGATAGAGAATTCTTTGCACTACCATTTCATGTATGTAACATACTGACAAAAGTGTTCCAGGGCGTCTTGACATTACAAATACGTTGTATAATAGCCATGAAAAGCGACTGACTTATTGCACGGTGAGGATCCTTTGATCAAAGCTTCCCATCTAGCCACTACGATAGATAAAACCTTGTGCTACCATTTCACGTATGTAACATACTGACAAAAGTGTCCCAGGGCATCTTAACATTAGAAATACTTTCTGTAACTTCGTGAACAGCAACTGACTTATTTGATGTGAGGAACCTATGATCAATACTTCCCATCTAGCCCCTACGATTGATATACCAATCGATAGAGAAAATCTTGCACTACCATTTCATGTATGTAACATACTGACAAAAGTGTCCCAGGGCATCTTAACATTAGAAATACTTTCTGTAACTTCGTGAACAGCGACTGACTTATTTCATGTGAGGAACCTATGATCAATGCTTCCCATCTAGCCACTTTTATAGATATACCAATCCATAGAAAATTCTTTGCACTACCATTTCATGTATCCAGCATAGTGACAAAAGTGTTCCAGGCATGTCTATTCAACTTTTAGCACAAATGAACAGAGAAAAATGAAAAGTGAAATAACAACACCTTCTGTTTCACAAGAAATTGAAAATTTTGTTCGGGAGACGGACATGCGAAGTAACCTTATTTTAGAAAAATCAAATATCTATCCAGGGCTCGGTAAATTAAAAACAAGAAATATACCACCCTCATCGAAAAAGAATCTAAAAGATTACCGGACTTGAACTCGGTCCTTAATGTTAAGGACGCGGCTTGAGTTTTTAAGGATTCGGACTCAGCTCGGATTCGTCCATGCCTGGTATGTACTTTCCTGAGATGTGTGCGAAATAAGTCGATCCCACGCGACCGGAACTGTTTTTAAAAACTTCATCGAACCGAGACTAAGTTTCTAGTCATGGTTCCGTCTGACAGTTTAGGAAGACAGATTTTCAAGAGCTTTTTTGGCAAACTTCGGAAGAAATCGCTTAGATGTACGGGAAAAATAAAATATCCCACGAATTTGACCGACATAAACTTTCGAATAAATGACCGAATAAAGTAGCCGGATTTCTTTTGCTATTTCCGANTTATCCCCGTTTGTCTTGTCATTGCAAAACAATGTATAAATACATGATGCTCTGTTATATTACATTAAGACTGACCTTTTTGACTCACATCTACATCAAGGTCAATTACTGAAAATTTGAAGTCCTTACTTTTTTCAATGAATTCGGTCAACGATTACATCGATTTGAGTCAGTCACAAACAAAAAATTCTATCTTCACTTTAGACAGTCAAATTGCTAATAATATTTTGGCAAACTTCGGAAGAAATCGCTTAGATGTACGGGAAAAATAAAATATCCCACGAATTTGACCGACATAAACTTTCGAATAAATGACCGAATAAAGTAGCCGGATTTCTTTTGCTATTTCCGAGTATCTGTGCTTTTGATTACCACATATCAGAGTCGTAACCGGTCTGGAAATACCAGACCGGTCCGGCCAGTCATCGGTCGGTCTAAAAATATTTCCAGACCGGTAAAAACCGGCGAGTTCATCAAGTTTTTTCAAGTAATAACATTGATATTAAGGACAAAATTTGTGGTGTGTAAATGTAATAGTCTGTCTCATGCAGTCATTTGTCGAATGGCGAAACGTCACGAATAATTTGAAAATAAATTTGGGAAGAGATTCACTTTGTCAAATAACAAAGCCAATGAAGACGAATTTGGGTTAGGAAGCTACGGTATCGGCATATCGAAAGTAAAAAATTAGATTAACATTAAAGAAAAAAGATAAAAGCATATAAACGCCAATACGTGACAATGTTCCGATTGCCAAGATATTTTAAACAATAAATAATATGACTTTGTCTTTGAAAACAAATTGAAAGAATAAAAAGAAAAAAATCACATTTCAAATAAAATTGTCACTCTCTTTTTCCTTTAAAAAAACTACTAAGCACCCATACATAGTATCTTTCTGATGAAAAATGAACGAATATGCACAACTTTGCGAAACTGGCCGGTCCAACTTACTCAACCGGTCCGGTTACAACTCTACCACGTGTAGCATACGTTAGTGAATACTTACGAATATACCGTCTCATCTTCGCTCGAAATAAACCAAAACTAACTATTATGGTCCATCTAAAATAAATTAGATTATAATGTTTCTTTTCATATCTAACTTTTTTCTCTTTTATAAAGTCACTTATGTCCATAGATAGACAGCTGCTGAATAATTACAATTGGATAATGTAATACAATATATGTTAAATCATCCTAAACAATCCTGTCTCTATCATGTACATATCGACAGTAATTCAAATTCAAATCCAAAAACTTTAGAATCATATCATTCCTATATACTAATAGTTAATTCAAGTCCATATGCATTAGCCGAAACAATCTATGCATATCGTTATCAGTCGTATTACACAGCCACATTAGTCGAATGCAGGGAGCATTTCAAAATGTATGCCGATCGCTCGGCCGCTCTGACGTTCAGTCGGCCACTCAGCCATTCTGCCGCATTTAAATTCTAATTAATTTTATTTTGTTTAATTTCGGTTGCTTTGATTGTATTTTGGATACATACAAACATTGGCATATGATCCCTTTCAGTTTTGAGATATCTGACTGTGAATCTCGCTGATTATCGTTTAGAAAGGCAAGTTTGTGCAATGAATCCAAATTTTCAGTAACTGACCTTAAAGTATTTTATTATACTAGTTTTACAAACTTTTAAACATGAATAACGTCGAAGAATAACGCTATTATCCCCGTTTGTCTTGTCATTGCAAAACAATGTATAAATACATGATGCTCTGTTATATTACATTAAGACTGACCTTTTTGACTCACATCTACATCAAGGTCAATTACTGAAAATTTGAAGTCCTTACTTTTTTCAATGAATTCGGTCAACGATTACATCGATTTGAGTCAGTCACAAACAAAAAATTCTATCTTCACTTTAGACAGTCAAATTGCTAATAATATTGTCATTTTAAAATACCAAATATATAGAAAGATTGATTTTGTAATAGTATTAGGTTTTGAATTAGGTGTTAAAGATGGAATATTTATAATATTTTATCATGATATTATTTCTTCTTTAATGTTTTGATTATTTGGATTATTATCTATTTTAAAGTCTCGTAGTGTTTTAGTCATAAAACAAGGTAACGCTCGTCTCCACTCGTTCGGTCCTTGACTTTATTAAGTTGGATCTGCGCAAGTGAACGTCCTTTGGTGACTTTTAAATCGAACACAATGCTCACGCCTCCCTCAGTTCGGCGCTCGCTGGGCGCCTAACCAAGGCATCTTCTGAATTTTTGTTCATTTTTTATGTATAAGATTCGTAGTCTGATATTAATATAGAAATCAAGAATCTCTAGAGGTCTAAACATAATTCTGATTTTCCGGATTTCCCCCTTTTATAGGGTTTTAGTATTAAAATCTATTTTAAAAATAAGTCTGTTGGTTTTATTTTTAATATTTATGAGAGTTCTTATTTTTTGTTATTATAATGCTTTTATAATTTTTAGTATTACATTAGGACAAGGTTTAATTATTAATTTAAATTTGAGTAATTTAAGTGTAATTATTAGTTTGATTTTAATTTTATTTTTAGATTATTTTTAGATTAGTAATCACATGTTGTGATCATGTAGATTTTCTGAAAATGATATTTTTATATGTGGGGTTAGTAATGTTTTTTTTTTATTGATGTGTTATTCTTGTGTTTTTTAGTAGTTAATAGGTTTGTATTAGTTTTTAACTTAAAGATTGGTATTTTATTTTGTCTTGATTTAGAGTTTTTACCAGATTTATGAAGTCTTAGATTTTCTTTGTTAGTTTGGACAGTGAGGACAATTATAATTATTTTTTGTTATATGTATATGAAAGATATGTTTACTAATATTTTTGTAATTTTATATTTGTTATTTGTTTTTAGAATACAATTTTAAATTTATACTAATAGATTTTATTGATTAATATTGGGTTGGGATGACTTATTATTATATTTGTTTGTCTGAAATTGCAATTTACAGTTTAGTAATATTAGCATTTATTTACAAACTTTTTATCTTTGTTTTAGAAATGTTTTCTTCTTAATAAATCTTTTGAAAAGTAATGTAATGGTTTAATTAATAATAATAATAATAATAATAATGATACTTTATGAGGAGGAAGATCCATTTAACCGTTAAATGGATGTTAAATCTTTTTTAGAATTTTTAAGAGAATTTATACTATTTTTCACATGGTTTTACTTTGTACCGTGGCTTTTCAGCCTCGATGATCTTGTCAAAAAAAAAAGAAGAAAATCCATTATTTTATAATATTTTATATTTTTGATTATGTTTAAATTTTAATATTTAATTTTTTGGCTCTTTACTTTTACTTAAGTTTTTTATACATATTACATATGTTAGAAAGATTATCAGGTATCTATTATACGATACAAGTTTATACATCTGGACTACAGGTGTTAAAAATTATAGAAAGTAAATACTCTTGATCGATACAAGTTGATGGATATAGAAAATAATATTTGATTTCTAATCAAAAATTTAAATTTTCTTTAAAATTAAGTTATTATAATTATCAAATATTACTTAATAGAATTAATTTTAAATGAACAAGGAAAAAAGCTGAAAAGATCCCGTAAAAATTGTAGAATGGATCCCGTATACTAAAATTTCGATAAAAATAGTAGAAATGATCCCGGATTTAGAATAAAAATATTTTCGACAGAATTGATCTCGGAATAAACTAATTTTTATATTTATTGTTCAGAATTGATTCCGGAAGACTTTTTTCTTTCTGTGAACAAGAGAATTGATCACGGTTGACGTGTGGTGCTAATGTACAGGATGGTGCAAAAAAAACTTATCCCCTAAGTGTTTTTAACTTTTTTTTATTAACAAATCTATTTCAAATACAAAACAATTTTTATTTCATAAACTATCAAGATCGGTAATCATCGTGGCTTAGGTGTTCCCCGCCATTTCTAGTAAACAAAGAAGTTCGTTTGACCTTTGATGAGATTATTGGTCGACATTGCTAGGACGAAAATGATTGCCAAAAGTTTTTTGATTTGTCGTTTCAGTTGGTCGATATTTGAATATTTTACATCAAGTAATTTTTCACGGATAATGCGCCAGACTGTTTCTATCGCCCATATGTCATCAAATTTAGGACTCTGAACATCAACAGGAATTCGTTCATTGAATAAGGCATCGATCTGTTGAAGCACTATTGGTGTACGATGAATGCTTGCAGCATCATCTTGAAAAATTGGTACACGATTTCGATATTTTTTCATGAGAGATGGATAACCAATAGTACTAATGAGATCTGCATATCGAGCACCATTTATTGTTTTCTTGGCACGTTTTGGCCATTGATATCCATCTAAAAATTTATCGATGAACACGGGTGCTTCTGGTGGAATTAAACCGTTCCAACTTATGCCACCCCATAGCATGATACCAGGAGAAAACTTTTCACGTCCATGATATCCACCATGTTTATCAGCATCTTGTCGACTGGTAGACCATATAATATCGTTTTTGGAAGTAAGTTCTGGTGTAAGACGAAAGGGTTTAGAAAAGTAGGTGTTCACCAGTCGTTGCCATTTGGAAGAACGGTCGTGTGGATTCAGTTTCCAATGTCTTTTTAACCAAAGAGCGAACTTTTTTCGTTTCATTAAATGTTCGTTCGTAATTTTAGTTGTTGTTTTACGACGATGTGGTTTTGCAAATTTTTTTAAATTACGTAAGGCTGTTAATACTGAAGCATCCACATTTGGTGCAACCTTTCGAGGTGAACGTCTCCTTTTATTTAAAACTAATCGTTTCAATTTGATCGACAGTTGTTTTGATGATTTTGTTGGTGGACGGCCGGAGCCTGATCGACGTAATGTTGTTGTTCCAGTTTCACGAAATTTCTTTAATTGGTATTTGATATTTTGTAGAAGAGAATTTGAAGTTGAATACGGAATTTGTTCTCGTTCCAGCATCGGTTTAATATCTGATAAAATTCTTTTGGCTCCCCAATCAGGATGAAGCTTTTTCAAAATACCAACTGTTTCTCTTACTAGCTTTTTCCGAGCTCTATTCATCTAAAAAAAAATTAAATCAAAAAATTCTTCTTTAATAAAATAATCAATATTCTCAAACGGGGTAAGTTTTTTTTGAACCACTCTATAAAGATGGCGTTGAGACATAAACAATAGCAATGTGTAGCGGTCACATCTTTTTTCATACTTTTTTCACTCACATCACTTTTGACTATTACTATCATTATTAAACAAACTATGGCTCGAAAGACATGGCTATTAGTTTTTACGTGTGTAAACGAAACTGATTTATTAAGTTTTATCAAAACTCAAGGTATCTGCAAAAGTCGAACTGAACAATTCATTGGGTGGTTTATCAATTACATATAAATGTTTACACTACTGAAAATATTCGCTTTGCGAGTATGAATTGAACATAGTATATAGAAATCAGCGAAGAGCTTTGGGAAAGAGGATCTTATCTGACCACTACACACGTCAACCCTGATCAATTCTCTTGTTCGCAGAAAGAAAAAAGTTTTCCGGGATCAATTCTGCACAATAAATATAAAAATTAGTTTATTCCGAGATCAATTCTGTCGAAAATATTTTTATTCTAAATCCGGGATCAGTTCTACTATTTTTATCGAAATTTTAGTGTACGGGCTCCGTTCTGCATTTTTTACGGGATCAAAACAATTACCGTCCAGTGAACAATGTATACATATTATTATTATTTTTGATTTTAATAACTTCTAATGTTTTTTATGTGTTATTGATTAATGAATTTAGGTTATTTTTGATGCTTTTATTTTTAGTTTTAAATAATACTAAATATTATAGTTTAGTTATATATTTTTTTATTCAAAGTGTTTTTTCTTTTATTCTTTTTTTAACTGTTTATTGGAATCATTTTTCTTTTTCTTTTATTTTAATGATGGTTAAATTAGGTATTGCGCTCTTTCATTATTGAGTTGTTGTTATTACTGTTGAAATAAAATTTTTTATAAATTTTTATATTTTAATTTTTCAAAAAAATTATTAATTTTTGACTTTTGTGATTATTATATCTGTTTAATTCTTGAGTGAGTCTATTGACACCACCACGAGGTGTCAACAAGGGCTATTGACACCACCATCAGAGGTGTCACGAAGGGCTACTGGCACCACTAACCTCCAGTGAGGCTATTGACACCTACTGGAGGTGTCAATAGCTCTTGCTGACACCCTTTGGTGTTGTCAATAGCCCTTGGTGACACCTCTTAGTGGTGTCAATAGCTCCTGGTGACACCCCTGGTGGTGTCAATAGCTCTTGCTGACACCTCTTAGTAGTGTCAATAGCCATTCCGTTAATTCTTTTTGTTTTTTTGTTTAGGATTTTTAGAGTTTTAGTTCCTTTTTTAGGATTTCTTATGGTTTATGATGTATGATTATTGATGACTTATTCATCTGTTAGGAATACTGGATTAATTTTCGTGAGAATGTTTACTATTAATTATTAGTTTTTGTTAATATTGTATATATTTATTACTTTTGTTTTAATTATGTTTTTTTCTTTTGTAAAGCTTGATGATTTTAATTATTTGATGATAGTTTTATTTATAGTAGTTCCTTCTTTATTTTTGTTTATTTATAAAATAAATATATAGTAATTATTAATTTATTTCATCTAAAATTAGGTTTTTTTATTATATTTTTTGAATGTTTTATTATTAGTATATTATTTTAGTTTTAGTTTTGTTTATGGTCTTATTTATTTTAATAAGACTTTGTTTTTGAGTTTGTTATTTTTTATAATTTTATCTATTGTTTTGAATAGTATTTATGTTTCGTTGATTTTATTCTACTAGTCATAAGAATATTGGAATTTTATATTTTTTATTATTATTTATTTGAAAACAATGATTACTATCATGCAGAAGAGAACGTCGAATATGCATTATAATTTTCATCTAATGATGAAAAAGTAATAACGTACAATGATATCGGTTGTGGTTATTGATAAACAGGTGGCCCATAATAAATTGCACTAAATGTCAATTCACTTTTCTATTACTTCCTATTTATAAGAGAAGTTTTCGTTACAACGATAGAGAATTTAATTCTATACAAGATTGTATATTTATTTTTAAGATTCAGCGTTGATGTTTGCCGCAATAACTCTAACAAGAAAAGTTCCAAATTGTTTACTTGCACTACACAGTTTTAAAGTACAAATTGTTCTTTCTTCTTAGTTCTTTATAGTGAGTAGAAAAAACTGAAATAATTTTATTAACGTCAAATGGTGAAGAAGTTAATGTTTGACAAAATAATTTACTTGAAATTAATTTATTTTAATTGTTAGTGACCCCCTAATAGATAAACTTCTAAGTCAGCGCAGTATCTAGCACAACAAAACGTTCTGACTATTCCAGTATAAAATCCAAAGTTCAAATCATTGATTTATAGACCAAAAAAAGCAGAATTTCGAGCTCTATTAGACTATGTAACTTAGACCTTTTTCAAAGACTCTTTTCCGCTCCAATCTAATCCAAAAAAGCATTATTCTCATTAAAAACCTTATCATTATAACCACATGTCCGCCTGGTCTATAGAAAGGTGCCCACTGTGCTCTAAACATTCGCTTTACCGGATAAAACTGTGTATATAAATAAGTGTCAGCTATCCTGAGGGAAACTTCGGAAGGAACCAGCTATTTTATTGTATTTGCTCAGGGTATCGTATCCTGGCTAACGGGCATTCAGACGTAAAAAGACCGACTGTCGCGAAAAAGAGAAACTGGCACAGCCGGATTAAGAGCTCAAAAAACGAAACAACAGAGAGAAAACGTCAGTTACACAATTAGACAACAGTGTGAAAAACAATGAAATTAGAACAAGCAAATTGTCAATATCTCCAAAGCATTAGATTATGGCACAATTCGTTGATCATGTTGATTGTTCCAACATTGACATCCACTGCTGACTAATCGGTTTCCTAATATTTCCACTCGATGATAATATTTGTCCCCAACCACACCTGGCCCCCTGTGACGAACGTCACCTGAAGAACTATTTCTCAAGAGCGAAATACATATATTCTGACTTAGCTCGGTGAGCTCTGCTCAGCCATGCATAAATATTTGAGAAAAAACATAGTGCTCCTTCTTTGAATTACGTGCACCTTATAACACGGTGAGGTTTTTTTTCCACTCTATCATGTTTTGAAACCTGGTCGAAGTTATGCAGTTAATAGTCATTATGTGATACAATTACAGATATCCAGTTTCATTCTTATCGTGTTTGTCCGATTTTCTCCGAGGTACACGATAAGCTGAAGCTCACTATTTATAGCAGTGCGGAACCTGTGACACGACCTTTCCCCGAACAGGATCCCGACGCTTCCACAAATTTTCATAGTACACAGTTGGATATTTTGGCAGTGTTCGCGGGTGGTGAGGGAGTCGGCGGGAGCAGTGTAAGAGTGAGTTCGAAAAGTAGTCTCACACAAAACATATACTCATGATAGGAACTGTATATCTGTAACTGTATCAGATAATGACTATTCATCACATAACTTCACTCAGGTTTCAAAACCTGATGTACAAAGTACAAAACCAGGCTGATTTATTCGTCTTTTCCAATGAACAAGTCTTCGCAGTAATGCCACTGTATCTAATATACATTGCGATTAAACAAAACCTCAATGGTCAAAACGCTAGTGAAAAGAAAATACAGTCGGGTAACAGAAAGATTCATAATACGTATGTAACACGAGAAAAAACAGCATGGCGTTTCTTCTAAATTATATAGTAAACTTTTGAACCTCGAATAAGGTATAATATGAAAATGCTATCTCAGGATCGACCAAAGGATTCTGATAAATCTCAGTTAAACTGTTTTGAGCGATGCTCTTTCTGGTGGCGCACTCGAAATAATTTTATAAGAGCTGAAAGTAGGGTTTCCAGAAAACCACAGTTTTCACACAAGCATTAATAGATTATTATTTCCTTTAAAGAAACATTTGTCTCTAAAATATTTCAAATTAGCTGTTTTATTCAGAACTGAATGGGCTATATGTTGAACTCTCCAGCTCATAATCTGGTTACAAAGTTGGTTACGAAAGTTCATCACTCTTGACCAAAGTGTGGCGTGGTAACCCCAAAAACACCATACACTTTCGTCACATATGACGAAGATTAACGTGACGAAAGTGCTATCACCCAAAATTTTGTGAGTTGACTGTTAGTAGTCAGTGAAATACAGCTATTCTACGGGCACGGTCCCTGAAAATGAAGTTCTGAGATATGAGGTCCTTTCCAAGAAAATTTCATAACTCATTCTAAGAATATCAGTTCCGCTTCAAACTCACAACGAATACTCTTCGACGACTGTAGACTATCCGGTCAAAGTATGAAAGAGTGGGCACAAATAGAAGGATAAAGTCGGAAAATTAAAACCACAATAGGTTAAATAGTTTAGATCGCAGTAGATCGCATGTTCACCTGTCTAGTATCAATAATAAGATCCCCTAAACAGATTATAAAGACCGTGAGATGACCTGTAACAGACATTTGATAGAAAAAGCTTTCCAATATGCATAGAAAGTAAAAAGCTCTCAGGACAATAGAAACTCCTTTAGACCTGTAATACAGTGGGTCGGAACATTTTAGGTTCAACTTACAAATGTAGAGAAACCTGTAAAAGAATTCTTTTAGTCGTTATTATCGGCTTAAAGAAGACAACAAAAAATATGAATGATCTCTCTTCTCCTGACATTATCTGTTGGACTTTTCAATTAATTCCACTTATATTTGTATTTAGTGAAATTTAGTGAAATTTAGTGAAATTTATTGTTGTACACTCATACCAGATCAAATGAAGTGTGAGCATCATAATATTGATGGGGACCCTGACAATCTGAGTATTTCAATTCATCCGACAAATATGCTGAACATCCTTGGGAGTTCATCACCTAATATACTACAAAATACACTGGTGAATTTATAGTTTTCTCCGACATACCCATACTCGTGGTATTTCGAGCGCAGCAGCACTCGAGGGATGGTCAGAAATGGGTTAACA